GACTATGAGAAGGACAGACACTTCCTAACAGTGGCTTTGGGTACTTTTTTCAGAGATTCAAGGCCAAAGTAAATTAAACTTAACATTTTTTATTTGCCCTACAGATTAATCTGACTGCCCAGCTGACAGAATGTCGACAGAACAGGGACTACCTTTAAAGCCACTCCATGTCACTGTCATGTTGAGCCTTCTTTTTTCCAGATAGGCTTAGTCACTATGCAGTTCAAGCTAACCTTAAAATCACAACCCTGCTTCTGCTTCATGCTTCCCAGAATTATAGGAAGGCACCACCACATTCACCTATATATTTTTACTCTCTTTGTAACTATTACCAAATGACATTCTTACTTATTTGCTGTTTACATTCTGTTTTCAGAGTGGCTCCTTCTCTATCTGGTCCACCACTGCATCTCCCATGCTTTAGAGCAGCCTATGAACACCTGTTATTGAAAATTACAAGATATATACAGGATCTTAATCAACATTCAGGGACGTGATGTTTAAACAAAGAAATCATCTTCATATTGTACTGATTGTGTCCCTAGCCTACAGAACAGCTTATGATAAGGGCAGTTTCCCTAGTAGCTATTATAGTCTCATTCTTTTTTGTTTTTTGAATTTATTTTGTGTCCATTGTTTTGCCTGCACTTTGTTTGCGTGAGGGTGTCAGAAGCCCTGAACTGGAGTTACAGACAGGTGTAAGCTGTCATGTGGCTGCTGGAAACTGAACCCTGGTCCTCTTGAAGAGTACTGAGCCATTTCTCCAGCCCATCTTTTTTGTTTTTGTTGTTCTTGAGACAGAGCCTCCTATAGTTTCTGCCAGCCTGGAACACTATGTAGACCAGGCTAACCTCAAAGTCAGAGACCTGCCTGCCTAGTTCTTGAGTGTGCTGGGACTGCAATCATATACCACCATACCCAGCCCTATGTTTCTGTTTGTTTTCCCAGACAGGGTTTTTCTGTGTAGCCCTGGCTATCCTGGAACTCCCTCTGTAGACCAGGCTGGCCTTGAACTCAAAGATCTGCCTGATTAAAGACATGGCCACCACCACTCAGCCCTATATTCTTAAATCCACATAAAGAACCATATAAAGATGAGGCCACAGTTATACCAATAATGTGTTATGCAGGAATCTTCCTGCTGGTCCTGTGTATTACCTGCAAAACAACCATGGCCCTAATATAGAAAACTCTGAATTTTATTTGTAATCATGAGAATCTTTTCACCTATACTATGGGTATCATGGTCACAAGACTCTGGAGAGGATGAAGGATACAGCTCAGTTGGCAGGTACCTGCCTAGCAACCCTCAGGTTCTGGTCTCAATCCCCAGCATCATCTCCACAAGATTTTTTTTCTTTCTTTTTCAGATTTTTTTTTATTTGAATTAGAAACAAGATTGTTTTACATGACAATCCCAGTTCCCTCTCCCTCCCATCCTCCCATACCACCCCCATCTCCACAAGATTTTCAAGGGCCTAAAACTAAAACTAGCCCCAAAAGGAAGTAATGCTTAAGGAATACTGAGGAAAGTTCTGTTTTGCATAAATGTATGTTAACAGTCTCATTTGTCCAAAGCGAAGGCAATCATGATTCCTGTACACCATAAACCAGTAACACAGGCAACAAAAACACAAACTTTTATGTCTTATATTGCTCTTTCAGATGATAAATGTTTCCAGCTCAAAACAGAATGGCAGAACTAGGTATGAAAGAGAAACCTCTTACATTAACTCTTAGGCATGCTAGTAAAGTTGGTCAAGCATGGGCAAACTGAAAGTTCAGAAAACTCCCAAGGGTCACAAAAACCACTTTCCAGTATTACATCTAAGTCCAGATTTCATATTCACCATAATATTTGTTGGTTTGGGGGGTATGTGTTTACATAAGAGCCAGTAGGGTGGAATGACAGCAGAAAGATACAGATTTTAGGGCCACACCTACCACTAGCTGATCTGCACCTGGAGCAGATGACTTACAAGGACTCTGGTAACAAGCTTTGGGGTCTAGTAGAGGAGAGTTATATTGAAGCCCCACTTCTCACTAGCTCTATACTCTGAGAAAAAGTAATGATAAATAACTCTCGGGTCTACTGGATAGACATTTTAAGACAGTTTAGAATTCCTTGGTCAGTGTATACAGATTATTTTTATTTTTAATGCAAATGTTAGCTTCCTTTCCTATCTCTAAGAGAAAGTAAACTTGATAAAAGATCAATTCTAGCTTCCTGGTTAAAATAGATGTTGACCATTTCAACTACATACCACTTCATTTTATAAGGTTAAGAAAAAGTATTCTGCTAAAATATTTTAACACAAAAAGGCACATCTAATATCTTACCAATATAAGGTCTTCTCTCACATACACATACATACACAAATAACCTCACTAAAGTTTTACAGTAATTGTTCTTCATAAGCTACAAACTAGGCATAATTCATGTACACTGGATTGTGATAGGTGCTTCCAATTTGAGAAGCTGGAGCTTCTCAAATCATACACTGAACACAAGATCATAATTCAAATCCTAATAGAATTGTTTATTTCGAAAAAGTCCAAATAATTCATCTGTGTAGTCGTATCTCCTGTGATAGGTCTGATGTTAATATAAAAGAAAACCTCTATTAAAAGACTGACATTATGAGCCCAGTCCCCCGTCCATGTTAAGATCATTTTTAAACTGTGTAGACAAAATAATAAGTGATCTAAGAAAGGTATAATGAACTGTGAGTGGTGCACATGTTTATAAGCCCAGATAAATATAATCGGGATGCAGAAGGATCATGGAAAGTTCAAGGCCAGCCAGGACTAAATAGCCAAAAAAATAAAAAAATAAAAATAAATAAAAAATTTAAAAGGCACAGGTTATCAAATTAAGCATATGTCATTCAAATATTACAATGCTGAAAGTGAAAGTCTAAGTCAAACAAGAGCACAGTCTGAGGTTGGTTTACAAGAACTTACCATTCAAAAGCATACGGCCCACGGACCTCACAAACCAGAAAAATCAGTGAAACTAATTGGGGTTCTTCATCATCTGCCAGGAGGCATCCTACTATCATTACAGAATAAACAGGGGATGCAAATAATTTCTGAATCCTGAGGTGAACTTTAACTCCGCTAGCCTACTACCTCACATCGTGAAATTCTATTTCATCTCTACCCGAAGACCAAAGTTGTAAATTTCAAGTTAGCCAAGTGCCACCTAAAAGAACCTGAAATAGCATCCCTCCCCAACATGAAAAGAGCTTCCGATAAAAACAGACCCAATCATCTTATTCACATTTCCCAAGTAGCCAGTGTCCAAAATCTTTTTACTGAAAACTCTCCCACAAAGAAATATAAAAATGTGCACTCAGCATAGGCTAGACTGCTATTAATAGTGTGCATTTTCTCTTCAGAAGCACATTATTAAAGCACTGGAAATTTGGGGGAAAACTACCAGGACCAAGTTACTTTTCAATCCAGTAAGGCACATCTTGCATTTCTCAGAAAAGTTGCTACGGTCAAAATGAGAGTACCAAACAGGAATGAAAGAACCACCAAACCAAACTCAAACAAACCTTCCAAATGCCTGGCCTGCCACGGAGTCTTTAACAGAAGTGTAATTGAGGCACTGAGAGGGTGGGTAACTTGCCCAGGGCTACAGTTTATTTGGTGGCCAAGCTGGAAGTGCATTCCTGGCCTCCTAGATTGGAATTTAGTAGTTTCCCCAGCCGCCAATGCCATCCCGAGTAAAACGTTTTATAAAACTCTTCACTAAGGCCGTTAGCATAAGGGTCCAATTATCATTCAAAGATCAGCCTGTTAGATAATAGCTCAAAAATTCCATCCATTTTATGGCATTTACCAGAGTCATCTAATCTCTGGAGGAAGAACGCAGAGCGAGAGGAGAAATCCCTAATCCTGATTCGTCCCCAGAAGGGTTGAGTACAAACAGGCAAGCAACGCTGGTGTCCGCACCCACAAACGGTGGAGAAATCCTCAGCACCATTCGCCCCAACACTGAAATCCATTCCTATCCCGCCGCAGGACGGATAGCCAACTCTCCTTTAAACCACCACTTTCCCGAGAAAACTCAGAGCCTCGCCTTCCCACCCCCCAGCCCCGGATAAAAAGAGCTCCTCCGCGGGACCCCACGCCCTGCCTCGCTCACCACGGCGGGGGAGGGGAGAGCGCCCCACACAGGAAGTGCATCCTGAGCCCCGAGCTCGCGCCCCGAC